AATTAGGTCCCAAAACGCAATTTTCGATGCATTTGACTGGTTGATACCATTTCAGACTGTCCCATTCTGGACGATTATCTTACGGATGTGTTTCTTTCATTGCTAATCATGAATACCAATGCAGTGTAGCATAATAGTGAACGCAATTAAGATTTCAAATGATAGTTCTCATGTACAGCTAATTAGCAATTGTTGTCAAGTAAAGGACGAAAATATTTATTGAGTTGATCACAGTTGATGGTGTTTTAAGTTGGTATCAAGAAAACATGAGGGGAAAGGCATTGATTGAACTACGTTGATGATATATTAATGAACCTTTGTTGAGATCGCACAACAATCAAAACTATAAATATGATGGTGGGATAATAATGAGGAAATTAATGGTAATGCTATTTGTGGTAGACGACTGGCTAGAATTATACGAACAAAATAATGATTTCGTGCAAATTCAGTTGGCGAATCCAAGTGTTCGGTACGTGTTATAAACCTTCTCGATTGCATTCGCATATGCAGCCGTACGCAAATCGAGTCCAAGATTATATTTATGTGCCGTTGCGATCACTTGTTTGGCTGCAAAATGAACGACTAGTTCTGAATTGCATTATCGGAAGCTATTTCGTAAAAAAATAGAATTTTCTGAATATGGTCCTTGTGAATTTCCAAAACAGAGCTGAATTTTTTGTTGAAACTGGTCGATCCCTTCACATCAGCACTATATGATGTGACTGAGATTCTCATTGAAAGTATGGTCATAAAATAATCAGTTTGCCTAATTGAATGAACAATTTGTTGACTGGGCTTAGTGCCACTGAACTGCTAACTGATCATATTCGTGGCTCTATATGATCTCGAATAGAGGTCATCATTAAAACCTGAACGTTGCATTGTGTACTCAAGACCCGAGTTCACATAGTCTTTCTCGGATGCAGTATCCAAATGGTTCCGGAACGCTTCCGATGGCTTTATTTTGATATCTTTTCCAACGCCCTTCCTCAGTGATTCCTCCACACTTCCTGTAAAAAAGATCATAGGTGATTAATGGTTTTTCATCACTATAACTCTTTTAAAATGCATCAATCACTCGCATTTCACCAGAGTTTCCACGTATTTTTATTGGCAGAGATACTTTGTCTGAATAATCGGTAAAAAATTCGAGCCTTCCTAGAAAATGCTCCTTCGATCTCAAAATCTGCTGACAGTGTTTCGATTTGTTGCCACTAAGTGGATTTATGATCACGTGACCAATTGATTATAAGCCCTGTACTCGGATGATCACTACGGAACTAAACCAATTCACGCTCAGTATCTTACCGAGTAGTCCATAACTGCTCTCTTTATCATATTTGAATGACAATCGGCCGAAGCTGACATGATTCAAATTTTTCAGCCATTCGAAATATGATACCGTAACACCACCACTGTTAACGAACAAATCCGGCACCAAAAGAATACCGCGTTTCAGTAGAATCTTATCGGCAGCCGGTGTTGTCGGTCCATTTGCTGCTTCGACGATCACCTAAAACGATCACCGACTTGTTCGCTCTCTAAATCTCTAAGCCGCTTGTTAATTGCAACTGAAAGTAGCGAACAAACTAGAAATGACCTTGGCTTGAATCTTTGCAGCGTTTCCTTTGTGAATTGTTTTCTCGCAAGCAGCCGGCACAAAGATATCACATTTCTGATAGATCAACTCGTCGAACGGTTCGTATGCTTTCGCATCCGGATAACCCTTGAAAGTGTCAAACGCTTATTCAGCCATAATGGCAAAAGTCAACGACAACACATGCAATGACAACAATTTGAATAGGCCTAAGCCATTTGCGAAACAATCAAACAAACACATTCGAAAGCAATGAATGTCCCAAAGCACCTTCAGCGTGCCATGTTTGCATTTCCATTCGTTCAGTTTCACCGGATCAATACCATTTGGATTGTAGACGGCCGTG